TATGAGATAATATAACCACGCTGCGTTACGTTCATCCATGCTGCTGATTACGATATAGTTTATGCAAATTAGACGCGTAAATTACTCCGCGTAAGAAACTCCATTATTTATTTCAGTATCACGCAGCTTATAGATACGCGCGTGTACCGCGGGCTATCTCGCCGGTCCGAACAAACATTTAACAATAATTGAAATTTCAATTGACAACAATTAAGGGCATCGACAAAGAAAATTGCTGAATCGATATGATTTGCCGACAGATGGGTTGTTCGATAATGTCCGCATTTACATAAAATAACCATACAAACAAAGTGTAGGTTCTGGCAGGAACTTAGGCGTACCTCTTGAGGGAAAAAAAGGAACCCTTTCAGGGGATATTTTCTTAAGTAAAATCATAAAACCATAGAAAAGAAGAATCACGAGGAAAAAGGTTTTTACTGGAAGAGTTTATCTCGGATGACTGACATGACTTCCCAAATCCTATTCATCATAAATATACCCGAGGCATCATGTTAGGATTGAAAACCCAACCCCCTCTTAATAATCTTGATGCTAATGATGATTAATTAAGTTAACAATTTGATTAAAAAAAAAATTGAAGTACCCCTGGCCAAAAAGAAGGAAAAAAAAAGGTGCAGTGTTCAATACGTAGAGAAAATTTGACACATGACTATGGTTTGGACACATCGTTCGTTCGTTCGTGTCTCCTTAGATCAAGATAATTATGTAAAGTTCCTTAATTAAAAGTAAAGGAACTTTGGACACATGATCAAGGATTAAAAATATTAAAAAAAAAAAAAAAAAAAATGATTTCCTGATTTACAGGGAGAGTAGATTTTTACAGTCTAATCAACCTACACCCAGAAAAGTAGACGAAATAAAACAATGTATACAACTATTCAATATTTCATCTGTTTTTTATTAATATTGCATATATATCAAAAGAGTACACATTTCACCAATTTGATATAGACTGATGTTTATGAGTGAACCATTTCATTGGAATGCAGATTTAATCCGGAGTCAACAGCGGTCATATGATTGACGTTCAAGTAAATTACATTCCATAAAAGTTATTTCAAATAGACTAGATTAAGGGTTGCACCAAATATTACAACAATATGAAATCATTAACTACATGTTTATCGAAAGTTCGTTGTAATTTTACAGAATTTATCATCATTTCAAGTATGACATATTTAAGCAAGTTTTGCATAGTCATTCTCTAGTTTCTACCATACAAATTCCCGTCCATTTTAGTAAAATGCGGCAACCAGTCAATCACTGCATCTCCAATCCAGAAAATTACACAATTCTAAATATTTTGGTGACAGCTTTCTCACCACATTCCTCTCATTGCATCACATCGATCCAACAGTTTTAAACATTTCTAGAGCGGATGCTTAAAAAAAAATTGTTGTCATATCACAAAGCCTTCCTGATCACAATTCCCCTAGAAAAAAACGATAATGACAGAACCTTCAAAGAAAGACACAAGTCATTTCATCTGTCTATAAGGAGAAGAAACATACCAGTTTGTAGGTCATCTAAGCTCTGATTTTAGAACAATATCTAGCATATTTATACATGCCTGGGCCCTGTCTTTATACAAAGAGTTGATATCAATCGCAACTATGTACATAAGAGATAGGGGACTCCAAACTTGCGATCGACTGGAAGACTTGCCATTGATTTGGATCAATCGCAATATCAATCGCATCGCTTTATAAGACAGGGACCTGGTTGTACAGGGGAACAAAAGAAAAAAAACATGGTGCCCATGGAGCTACCAAAATCTCATATCTAATTTATTTGTATGAAACAGTTAGATGAAGTTTGCCGATTAGCATTTATATTACTCCAAACAAGGATGCAATTACGCCATATATGTTCACCTAGACAAACACAACAAATTTCAGTCAAACTGTGAAGAAGTTACAACACAATTATTATCTTGGATATTGGATTATTTTCCTCCTAAAAACTCTGAAGAAGAGTTTTGAGATATGCTCCTATTCATGCATTATCAAGCATGTGAAATGAAAAAATATTTGAGTAGCGTAAGTGTTTAAAAGCACATGTATGGTGTCCCATACCTTTAGGTTATTTTTCTGAAGACGAAATAAAAGAATTTAGATGAAAATAGCTATTTCTGAAGACTCACTAATAGAGAGAAAAAAACACATCTAAAGTTCAGTGGCCAATATGTGAGAGTATACCTTGCACACTAAACATATGCTGGGCAGATTGTAAATCTCTTCTTGCCATAATCCATTGCAAAAGATATATTTTGTTTTGAGATTATTGATGTTGGTTCAGGATGCACAATCCTATTATACATAGCTTTACAATCATCATACTCATCAACATAAAACTGAAATATAACACTTTGGCAGGTATTATGTATAGAACATTATAGAATGAAACTTCACATTGCCTTCTTCTCTATGCTACAAACAAGCTCACACTATAGAATGAAATAGAGTATCAAATATACATATAACAGGAAATAAAATGAAAAAATACACAAAAAGTAAGAGTAAACTAATAGAACTTCATAAAAGGCAGAGGCACATATACATGTATGTATGTAACTACTATGGTATATACATATAAAATATAGGACACATTCAAAGACATTTACCTTTCTTGGCAACATAAATAACATCAGAAAAGGGCATTTCCCTGGAACAAAAGCATGATAAATATAATGCTCAAAAATTGAAAAGTGTGGTTTTCAAGCTAATACACAACATTCCAGATTAATAATAAGTTTATACGATTTGAATTCAGGAATCTCCAAGATTTAACGTTGTTATAATTAATAATGAAATAAACATCACTTTAGATCTTTGTGCGTGTTTAATGAATGTTCCATGTAGCAACAAAAATTGAGAGTGAGCAATAAAGAAAAGTAATGATAGTGAAATAATCGGCCTTCGGAAGAAATGACTGAGAGAAAATAATAGACCACTGCGACTAAATGAATAGCCCTTTCCACATATTAACCAATATGAAAATCAACAGTTTCAAATTTAAAAACTGCAAGATCCGGAATTTCATGGGCTAGAAATATTCCAACATTCCCTAGGAGGTCCTAGCTTGGCTCACAAAAACAATTCATGTCGCAAATTATTTGAATCACAACAATGATTTCAGGAAATGTGAGGTTTCTTGCAAACATGAAATGCAGCTTGGCAATTCAAAAACATTTTAGGTCGTGAAATTTTTGCTTTTTTGAGTAGAATTGGAAGAATATGTTAACTTAATATATGCATGAGGGTCATCTCTTTTCATATAGTCCATATATATAGTATTCTGATATGTTTAATTTTCGACCTTCTTCAATCTTAGACGAAAGTTCTTTGTTGTTTTATTCAGATGTTAACATCTGATCAGTCAATGCTTACCGGTAGTCACATTTGTGAGGTAGGTTTGAACCAGAATGCCATTTGGTTATCATTACACTTTAGACTCATTGCAGGGTATACACAATAACTCTCACATCAGGTAAACATGCACAAATGGAAATACTTTGGAAAATAAGGTAGGCTGTGGATTCCCATTGGGTGGCTCTGGTACACAAGATCTACTATGCAAATAACTAAAGCCAATGAATAGTTTTGGTAGGTCTAATGAAGTGATGCTAGCAGAACTATTGTAACACAAAACAAAACTAGATGGAATTTTGACTGCGCGCAGTCGAAAATGATGCCTCCGCCATAGAGCAATTTAAACAAGTTTGGAGTTTAAATCTCCAGTGGTTCTTGAGATATCATGATAACAATCTCAATGTATGGAATTTCATAAGTTGACCTCTGTGACCCTTGACCTTTGACCTACGTGCTCCAAAATCTAATCAGATTGTCTTCCTATGGTGATACACACTATCATTAAGTTTGAAGTTTAAATCTCCAGTGGTTTTGAGATATTATGATAACAATCTCAATGTATGGAATTTCATAAGTTGACCTCTGTGACCCTTGACCTTTGACCTACGTGCTCCAAAATCTAATCAGATCGTCTTCCTATGGTGATACATACTATCCTTAAGTTTGAAGTTTAAATCTCCAGTGGTTCTTGAGATATCATGATAACAATCTCAATGTATGGAATTTCATAAGTTGACCTCTATGACCCTTGACCTTTGACCTACGTGCTCCAAAATGTAATCAGATTGTTTTCCTATAGTGATACACACTATCACTAAGTTTGAAGTTTAAATCTCCAGTGGTTCTTGAGATATCATGATAACAATCTCAATGTATGGAATTTCATAAGTTGACCTCTGTGACCCTTGACCTTTGACATACGTGCTCCAAAATCTAATCAGATCGTCTTCCTATGGTGATACATACTATCCTTAAGTTTGAAGTTTAAATCTCAAATGGTTCTCCAGATATCGCGCTAACAAACTCAATACAAGGAATTTCATAAGTTGACCTCTGTGACCTGTGACCTTTGACCTACGTACTCCAAAATCTAATCAGATCGTCTTCCTATGGTGATAAATACTATTCCCGAGTCTTAAGTTTAAATCTTAAATGGTTCTTGAGATATTGTGATAACGGTCAAACGGGACGGACGTACGGACGTACGGACGGACGTACGGACGTACGGACGGACGTACGGACGTACGGACGTACGGACGGACAACCCGAAAACATGATGCCTCCGGCACCACCTTCGGTGGCGGAGGCATAAAAAAGGCACGACTAACTTGCTGTAAACCCCCCCCCCCCTCCCCCCTCTCCTTGGGTAAGTGAAAGGAAAAGAGAATTTTCTAGATTTCTGATCCCTGCCTTAAACATCTTCAATCATTCTGCTTTCTTTTAATTGCCAGTCGATGATGTTACAGTAGATTATTACATAATCTTACCCATAATAATCAACATTTATATAACGTGAACTTCACAATGTTATTATTATCATTAATACCCCCAGTCACTGGATTTCAAGCCCACACACATAACTGCACAACATATTTGCTGATTCACAAATAACATGGGTTACTGCAACATCATAACAATGTATTTCCTTGTCATTACCAGGCGAATGATACAATTTCAGAAGCTCATTACTACTTATGAGAAAAACTAAAATATTAAAAAACAAAGATGAAAATAACTTAAAAGAGTTTGGGTCAAAGCTCCTGTACATAAATGTAAGCACCACACTCTGAAATCAATCTTGCCTGCACAAGAAAATACCTGCAGAAGAAATACACAAAAGCTGTGGATTCTGAAATATGGATATGGCATAAGACAGGGTCCAAATGAAATAACATCATAAATTCAAACTCTAGTAATAACCAATTCCATTTCAGTGTGATACTGGCCATTTTTTTCTTCTAGAAGGAGAACTCATATATGGTGCAATAAATAATCTTCAGAAACTCAACTGCGTTGATATAAGGCTAACCTTGAGTTTTGCTAATAATGCTGTATTCTGAGGGGAAAATATCCTGAAATTATCATGAATTTGTCCATCAGGCAATGAATGTCGTCATTTGGACCACAAAATGTAACCAAATTTAGAAGAAAAAAAAAGACATGCTGAATATTGTATCACCATATCTGGGACTACACATTCTTGTGATGGGCCTTACTTACATGTATAATTCATGTGTTATTCACTTTATTATCACATTCAGTTTGCAAATCCTTTTTTTCCTCATCCAGTGAGTTTGTTGAATTCTTGAAGAATTATATCACTTGTATTATAATTGTTATACAAAGCTTAAAATGTCATTAATTAAGCCTGATAGTAATTTCAATATTGCATGTACATGTAATACTATAATTACAACTTTGTATAATTTAAGACAATAACTTAGTATAAAATGCTATAGAGGTGTAATTCACTAGCGGTATTATTAATCAATATTATTGACTGCAGTAACTGTTGTTTTTGTTGTTGCTGTTGTTGTTAATTGTTGTTTGTTATTTTACCGGAATTATGAATACCTAGATGACAGAAAGAAGACATATCACAAATAGCTGCAATGAAAACTTCCCTTCATGATCATGTTAGCTTTGGACTTTTCCTGGGACTGAGTTTGCTCCTTTTCTTGGAAGTTGTAGAATTGAGCTTGATGAATGGGAATAAGACTTCATTGATGATAAACCTGAAGACTGACTTCTCAGCTAGGATAGCAGAATGTTCTCCTGTTGGGCCTTTCACTTCATACTCCCTCACAGGTGAGTACTGCTCATTACGCCATCTTCATGTTAAGAAAGATAGAAGAAAGAACATATAAAGACTTTAGAGAGGATCCCTAAAGTCACAGATTCACTACTACTTCACCCAGGGAAAAAATTACTTTAAACATTTCAGGGGCTACTTTTCAAGTGTGCTTACATGAAAATAACACTCTTTGATTTGTTTTGCATTGAACTCTACATGAATGCAAAAATTTGGGCTCTTTTATGACTTTCGGGGGCTCTTTTGGGCATTTCGGGGGCTAATTTGCCCAGAGCCCCCGTGTATTTTTGTCCCTGACTTCACCATAGGACAAGTGAATTCATTTATAGAAATTACTTTTTCTGCTCAGGTTTTCTAATCATCTGTACAGATTACAAGATCAGAGGCCTGTCTATGAGTACTTGCGACTGAGTTGTATCAATCAATTGTATCTCTTTCAGTCGCAATCAATTTGAAGCAAGCACAGCCCTTTATAAGACGGGCCCCTGGTGTATGTCTGTGTCCTTTTCTTTATATCATAGCTTTTTTCTTTCTGTTCTGCAGTTTCCTCCAAGATACAAGATTAAAATGCATATTTTGATAATCATTGTTCTAATAGTTATGATGTATATTTTCTAAGTGAGTTGAATTGAATTTTTTTACAAAAAATTAATTTCTATACATTATTGATTTAATTTCATTGCCCTAAATAAAAGTAGTTTGTATCATCGCACAAGTGTTTTAATCCACTATTTTTATTCTTATTAAAATATATTCACAATGGTAGGCTCAAATCAGTTTGCATTCACTGGACTTACTTCCTATATGCTCTAAGGCTGCGTAGATTAACTGTTCCATCCCCTAAGCCCATTGATATTGTTGGTTGCGTGTCAGGAAATGAATTTCCTGGGTATGTGTAGTTAGCTTCAGTAGGTACCTCCACACCATACACAGGAAATACAGGAACATCTATGGACGATACAAAACAAACATTGGAAAACATTGTCTGCTATAAAGTTGAAAGGGAGGGTGTAACAATTACTTTATTTCTTTGCTAGAAGTTACTCCTCTGTTCCTGTTATGGATTATGCTTCTCTCATATAGTGGCTGAGAAAATATAAACAACAAATATTTCATCTATATCATTTCAATACAAGGAACTTGTCACATCATACTTCATATACAGATCCCTCGGATAGAACATTAAATGAAGGCCACGTGTACATGAGAGTCACCTCCCTTGCACGTTAAGAACCCACTGCACTTTTCGTATAAGAGTAGGGGGAAACCCCGGTGTAGTGGTCCACCTGCACACCCCAGTAACCTTGGCATTATATCCTGACTCATGGATCCTGTAAAGTATCGGCGTAGAAGTAGAAGTATAACTTACAGCTTTGTGTTAATCTTAGGGACAAGAAAGGTATAAGGGCAAGTCTACCATTTCTGCTATGAATTTGCTGACATTCTATGTGTTCCTTGACTTCAAACTCAGCGGAAAATCAATAATCTTCAATCATCCTACCTGGTGCTTTGATATCCTTCACAAGCCCTTGAGTATCTTGAAGGAGATCTAATCCTATAGTATAATTCAAATCTTTGAATAGCTGTGTGTAGTTTCTTGTTGTGTAGTTAGCTTTGGGTGTAGTAATGATGATTTCTTCTGGGCTCCAATAGTCTGTATTAGGGAAGAGGAAGACTGAGCTGGGGTAGGAACGCTGAGCATTGCGAGCAGTCAAGGCTGATATCACATATTCATTCAGATTATCACCTGTATAAAAATGAAGATATGACAAAAGTGTGATATAAACATTCAACAATCTCTTATGCACAACTTGATTGGTTGATTCAGCTTGGTGCCAAGATGATAAGTACAGGCTTGCAATTAAGCTCCGGGGGATAGTTTGCAATTTGCAGTCAAATCTGAGGGACTTGGAGTTAACTTAAAACACCAGTACTGTATTGCATAGTGTACTAAATACACCATTTCCTAGATAGCTCTATTGACTGTACAATAACTTCTTCCTTACTAGATGAATACACAGATATACATGTAAAGGATTACGGCAGATTCGAACGACAGGGGTGGAGAGGAGGTGATGCCCCCCTTTAGATCTTGGCAATGGAGGGACCAACTGCCACAACATTTTGCAAAAGCCTTTTAGAATAGTATCTGGGCAACATATCATGTCTCTGCCAATGCACGCCTTAGATTATTGAAGCTGATTTTCTTCCACCGATATCTAGTGTTTAAAATTCAAAGAGTTTCATCTGACACTGTTTATTGACATTCAAACTTCCCGTGCATTTACCACAGTCCTGCAAGACTTTTCTTTCACTCTATACAGTGATAACTACGAAAGAATGCACGACACATTGGACAATCATTCCTCACCTGACGTGACAACTCGCATGACTTTGGTGGTACCGGCGTAGGGTCCCGAGATTGGAACCCATGCCCTGATGAATCGGTTCTTCCATGATGTGGGCTGCTGGTTGAGGAAGTACAGCGCATAGAGACATCCTAGACTGTGTGATACAAGTACAACAGGTTCATGTCCATTCTTCTGATATGTTTCTTCTACTAAGTGCTGTAACTGCCAGAAATATGAGCCGCCTTCATCTGTATATCAAATGGAAAACACAATTATCTTAATTCAATCATTGTAACTTTTATTTGTTGAGTAAGTTTTACCCTGAGCGGCATCATCATTGGTCACAAGAAAGAATGTTTTAAAAGTGGTAAATCTAATGTCATTGTATTTCCTCGACTGTGCAGACTGAAACATTCACCCAAGTACCTAGCTTTGGGATGATTTTATTGACTGCATCCATTCAACTTGGTAAAAGGCTTTCAATTACTGTCATTTTACATACACTGAATCTGCAATTGAATGAAGTTGCAGAAAATAATTTTCACTAATCATTCTCACCAAGCACATTAAGATGCAAGTACAGAAAGTAGTAAAATGTTTCTTCAAATCCGACATTTACATTCGACCAAGTCCAACTACAAGAAATGGTTGATGAGTATCATATTTTAGTTTCAGTATCTTACTTTGATATGTTTAAGTTTCTTCTTCATTGGTCTAGATTTTAAGAGGAATTGAAGACATGACACAATTGTTTTTGTTTAATGTTTTTATATTACAGAATGATGACTTGAGTTTCAAAATATTTGTTCAGAGCCAAAAGGATATATACTCTGTGTTAAAATACAGGAGTTAATGCCATTCTTGCTCCAAAAGATGAAAGATCCTTGACAGTGATGACAATAAAACAACACACAAACATATGGACCTTCATCTGTTTGAGCATCATGTCATCTCATTACCCTGCATACTCACTGGGGGCTTTCCGGAAGTCATAAGGAGCTCCACGTATATTGACATTTCTTTCATAACCAACAGCAACCAAGGCATCCACTAGATGAGTGTAGTATGAACCTATCAAAAGAGGAAAATATTCTTGTTTTACATGTATGATCAAATTGGTGGTGTGGAAGGATGCTTTTTCACTTGTTAATTTCACTTGCCATTCTACTTTAATACATGTTAACATTTCTACACTCTCCACCTACAATATATTCATGTAGGGACAACTTGATAAAAACATTTGTCTGATAGATGAAATCATATAACCAGATAAAGCAGAAAAAACATCATTTCATCTCATTAAAGAAATAGCTGGCTGACTCGTAAGTAAATAAGACAGGTATAAAAGACATATTCTTTGGGCCGAAAAGAAAGATGACAGTCAGTCATACAGCAAGAGAAGAGATTGGGAGAGAGAAAATACAAGAGGTTTTGAGTGTTGAGACTTCAGCTAAAAGTTAGAAGAAAATAGGTGTGCTCTTTACTGGTGGGTGAAGGTAAACCTAGTATTGGTCATTGAGGAGGTGTAAATCTAATGGTCCAGTTAAACCATTGTTAAAACAGGGCTCAACACTAACAGGTACTCGGGACACAAAATCGAAGCTGCACCCCCACCCCCCCCCCCCCCCCCCCCCCCCCACCCCCAGAAAAATGTTGCAGTTTTCACAGAGGTTCACACATACAGACTGTAAAAAGTTCAATCCAAGTTAGTGTGGAGTCCTGGGAACATGTCATAAGTACAAGTTTACCGATATTCCATTGAATCATGTGCTAATTACATTACACGCCTTTCTATGGGATGTTGGTGAACTTGTCAGTGAACGCTGCCCTGGTTTATATCTCACCATGTAAAACAAGCAAGAACATAAATTGCTCTTTTATTGGACATGAGGCCAAATATATATTACTGAGGCTTAACCCAGTTTTGATAAACCTTCATGAATTCATGCTATTCAGTTCATACTCGAACATAAATTGCTCTTTTATTGGACATGAGGCCAAATATATATTACTGAGGCTTAACCCAGTTTTGATAAACCTTCATGAATTCATGCTATTCAGTTCATACTCGTTGTTTTACCAATAATGCTAGACATTTACCAAATGAACTCTTGCTTGGGTCTAACCACTCCACAGTGCTTGTATTTCCAAAACCAGGTATGTACACATGAACACCCTCACTATCTCGGCTTGTTCTTGTGGCTGGATCATAGACTAGTCTGGAAAAATTCAAAATTCAAACAGAGGAACAAAGTGAATGATCAAAATTAACAGAGCTTGGAGAATGTGTACTAATACAGCATACTAGATACATTTGGACATTTGAAATAGGGAGAGAAGAGGATGTTGAACCAAACCAAGGAGACTGACACATATAATGACAACAGACTGAACATTTCCCCCAAATGGTCAAGAATCAATCTGTCAGAGTCGGCGTGGAGTCTGTCTGGAGGTGAGCCTAAGGTATCAAAGCAGTCCCCAAATTATGAAATGGGAAACTTGAGCAATGTGATACACTAACATCAAATTCAAAAGTCATGGTCTACTGTGGTTGAATTGCTATCAGCTGCTCATGCTGTTGTATTGACTTCATCATAAACAGGTGTTCATGGATGACTTTAAAGAAGACAATGTTTGAAAAGCACTTTATACAAGTGTAGCAGTTTCTAAACATCATAACATACAACGAACATTAAAATAGTACCAAGAAATAAACAAAATAAATTAAGTCATTTATAAGAAAAATAAATTAGCTATCAAATTATGCAGTCTCATATCAACTAATCAATAGCACTTGGTACTTGGTTGGGTAATATCTTAAGCACCTCACTCAGGAAGCTATACTGGGATGGTAGGTGAGGCAATATTACACAAACAGCATATACACTATCAACAGATGAATAAACATACCAACACATAATAATAAACAAATGGATTTCTTACTTCATATTATCAATGAAACAGTCAAAGTAGTAGGGCACAAACTCATCAAGGTTGAGCCATAAGGTGAAAAGGCCACTTGTTTTTTGGCAGATGTATGGATGAAGAGTAGCTGTCCTGTTCAGAGTTGCCTGCAACTGACAACCACCATCACCAGGAACTGTAGCAAATATAGAGATTAAAATGATTAAGACAATAACGAATACGATTTAGTTCCCAACAACTCTCGAAGACAGATGTGTCATAATACACAAATATTCTATGAAAAACAAGTAAAAAACAATAATAAATAAATAAATACAAAAATAAAAATTGCTGCAGGTTGAATCATTGAAGAGAAAAAGAGAATTGAACAAAATTTTAATTAAAATAAAATCTTCATTCTGTGCAACGAACAACACATAGCAAGTCAATCAAAGTGTGTACACACTCAATGACCAATTTCACAGAGCTAGTATACCACCATCGCAGCTATCGGGTGTCTAGAAAGGGATTCCGTTGAATAACATGCAAAGGAAAGACCTACAAAAATGTATGCTGCATGAATCTAAGACTATGACTGATACCCATTTTCTCCAACTCGCCATTTCCACAATTTAAAATAGATCTTTTCTCTGCAGTAGGCCCTATATTTAATTCAATTAATTCAGGTGCATTGCCTGGTGTGAAAATGCATCAATGCCTAATTCATGAGATGCCCTTCATCTTTTTGTAGCGTTCTCGCGACTTAAAGCCCATCTGTACTAGTTTTCAGGAGGGATTGGACCTCCCTGCAAGGTCACTGACAGGTAGTTATCTCATCAAATCAGCTCTCACTTAACATAAAAAAAAGAGGATCATGGGGGAATAATGGTCACCGATTAGGCATCGTTTGCTATATAGAGGGGGCAAGTAGCTATAAGTAGTACAATGGGGCTTTAAATAGCCTGGGCTGCGTCTCACAAAACCGTCATAACTTAGTAGTTAAGTTGGGTGACATCCCATTGAAATGCGTGTTAAACTTAATACACGCGTTTCAATGGGATGTTGCTCAACTTGTACTTACGACGGTTTCATGAGACGCAGCCCTGGTCATCGACACCAAGTCGATGCGTATGTGTAGAGTAGATCTAGATTCTACACAAACACAACTCGCTTAATTTTGGTACAACAAAAAAGGCATTCTCATGAAATAAGCCACTTCTACTAGCTTCTCATTCATTTGTAATGCAATTTTGTTAAGACTACATCATGTAATCATATCATGGTAATGTATGCCTACGCCCCCATATCTATTTTGATTGATTTATTGAATTTTATTCGCAGTTGGCATCAACTTGATCAAGCCAAGGCATGGCAATACAAACTTGAACATGATCACGACTAGACCTAGTGCTACGCTACACTGGCTACAGCCGCGCCAGACTCACGGCCAAGTCACGAGTCACGAGACGCGAGTGACTGAGAAGGGGGGTCCGGTTTTTTGTTTACAAATTGTAACCGTCACTGCAAGAACTACATGAATAAGAATTATGAATTCATTATCAAGCTTACTTAATACCACTGGAGGCCCATCAAATAAAGCAGAAATTGTATGAATATGAGTTGAGAATAGTATAAAGGCGGTAATTAGTGTAAATAACGTAGATCTAGTCATGTTTTCCTCCGTACTGGTGAACCTTTCGTGTGGACCTTCTTCTGTTTGGTAGTTCTGTTTGGCACTTTGTTGTTGTTGTTGTTTTTGAGTTATTGGCGATTAGTCAGTGATTTGACTATTGTCGCCAAATTACTTTACGGCACGTGTTATATCTCTCAATTTTGGATTTTTTTAAAAATACATTTATTTCGTTTTATATTTATCTATCTTTTAAGATAGTATCGTAAAATAATATCGTAAGCAAAACATTCATGGGCTTTGTTAGTGTTTCTTAACAGTACGTGCAGATTATTTGTTATATCACATACACACCATACATAAATATGTATATAAGATAGCACCTACACAAGCTTCTATATTCAGTAATCTTATCATACCTTTTATCATTGTTGTTACTTTTTCTTATTTTATTTTCTTAATACATTATGTTATTATATTTTTAATGTACTGAGTGTAATTTAACATATTTATAATATCGTATTATGTTTTACTGTTCTTATTTTATTTTCTTATTACATTATGATTGTTATTATATTTTTAATGTACTGAGTGTAATTTAGCATATTATAATATTGTATAATGTTTTACTATTCTTATTTTATTTTCTTATTACATTATGTTATTATATTTTTAATGTACTGAGTGTAATTTAACATATTTATAATACTGTTCTTTTTTTATTTTCTTATTACATTATGTTATTATATTTTTAATGTACTGAGTGTAATTTAGCATATTTATAATATTGTATTATATTTTACTGTTCATCAAGGGAGGTATTACTTCCTGATAGGGAACCGTTTCGTTCTGAGAAAGAACCGTACAATAGCTTTTTGTATACTGGACTCACTCTTTTTTAAGTATTCCATAATTTTTTCAGGTTGGGATTCGTTAATTTCTGTTAGAAACATAGCCCTTTCTATAATATAGTTAGGGCAATGTACTAAAAAATGTTTTACAGTCTCTATTTCACTGGGGCATCTATTACAGAAACCAGTAGCATGAATTCCCAATCTGAGGAGATCCTGGTTAAGTCCAAGGACTCCAAAGCGGAGTCGATGTATTATTGTTGAATGTTGTCTCTCTAATGAGCATATATATGGTTTATTAACATCTTTTTGATATGTTTTCAAATACGAGTTGGTTTTGTTCCACCTTTCTTGCCAAAGGAGTTTGGAACTTGTAGTAATTAAGCTTTTCATTTCTGACATATTTAGGTTATTATTGACTTCTATTTTCTTTACTAATGCGGCCTTTGCGTGGAAATCCGCCATCTCGTTCCCTTTTATTCCACAATGTCCAGGTATCCACTCTACATATATATCAACTCCTTTATTCTTTAAGTGAGTAGTCATGGTGAGAATTTCCAGAATAAAAGATTCGTCCTTCTGTTGTTGTAATGCAATAAGTGCACTCAGTGAATCACTAAAAATAACAACCCCCACATAAATGTCTAATTCATCTACCCATCTGAGAGCAAGAATGATGGCAGCCAATTCAGCCCTGTACGAAGAGGTGAAATTTGATAACCTTTTGCTCCGATGTACAGAATAGTAAGGGACGTAAAAAGCAGCTGCAGAGGTCCCTCTTTCAGGTACTTTTGATCCATCGGTGTATATATGTAATTGAGTCGCCCATTTAGTATGTATGATTTCCAGGCTGCTTTGTTTTTGTTGTGTAGGATGATCTGTTTTCTTTATTCGAGTACTTAATTCCGTTGACACTGCCGGAGGGTAGAATAACCATGGTGGAAATGGGGAGTAGGTTATCGTTTCTATACGTTTTCCCAGCTTGCTTTGTATTCTATATCCAAAAGGTTTGTTTACGTTTTTCCCCTTCAAGTATTCAAAATGCCAACATGGTTCAATGTTTTTTAACAACGGATGATTTGCCCATCTTTCGATGTTTTGTCTATATTTACTTGAAAGCATTTGTCTTCTTATATCCAAAGGCATTTCCCCCATTTCCACCTGTAGTGATTCTAAGGAGGTTAATGGCAGCCCACCTGCGCATATCCTCAGTGCTTGGTATTGGACAGAGTCAATGGCTTTTTTGGTGGTAGCAGCTGCACTGTCATACGCCTCACATCCGTAATCAAAAAGAGACCTTATAATTGCTCTGTACACCATGATAAGTGATTTCGAGGAACTTCCCCAGTTTGTTCCAGTTAGACATCTTAAGATATTTAATTTTCTTTTACTTCTCGTGATTACATTTTCGATATGTGGTTGCCAAGTTAACCTTTTATCAAATATAACCCCTAAAAAGCGATGAGATTTTTCGTACATTAACACATTTCCATTCAGTTCTATATCAGGCGGTAGAACGGCATTCCAGCTTTTCGTAAAAAGTACGGGCACTGTTTTGACAGGTGAGAGTCGAAACCCCCACTCTTCAAACCAACGATTTAAAAGATTCAAATATTTCTGTATTTTTTCAGTAATATGTACAATGTTCCTGCCTGATATCCATATTGCGCAGTCATCTGCATACATAGATATGCTTACATCTTGGTCTGTAGGTATATCACCCATCATTATATTATATAAAAGAGGACTTAAAACACTCCCTTGTGGTAACCCGTTATGCGTTTTATAAGTTTTAGATTCTGTATTTCCAATTCGTACTTGAAAAGTTCGTGCTGTTAGATAATTTTCTATATATCTCAGCATGTTCCCTTCTATTCCATTTTTTGCTAATTTAAAAACCAGACCCTTTATCCAAACTGTATCGAAAGCCTTTTCGACATCCAAGAAAACCGCTATTACATGTTCATTACAATTTATACTCTTTTGGATGTCATTTTCTAATTGTACAATATTGTCCGTCACACTACGACCTTTCCTAAATCCACTTAAAAAATTGGGTAATAATTCATGCTTTTCAACATACCATTGTAATCTTTCTTTTATCATTCGTTCAATTATTTTGGCAAAACATGATGTTAAAGAGATTGGTCTATATGACGATGTATTTCTGGGATCTTTTCCATGTTTGAGAATAGGGATTATTATAGAATGCTTTAGTTGAATTGGAATTTCCCCGGTTTTCCATATTAAGTTAATAATGTTCAGCATGATTTCCTTGTTTGCTTTTGGCAGATTTTCATAAACAACGTAAGGTATATTATCTTTTCCTGGGGCAGTCTTTTTTCGCGATTGCACTGCCTTTTCAAATTCTGTTATAAAAAAGGGTTCATTTATAACATGATCTACATTTAAAATATGAATGTCATTATTTGGTGCCTTCGGTAATTCCTTATTAGTATCCCTGTCTTTTATTCCTATTTTTTGAAAGTAATTTCCAAAGGCATTTGCTTTCTCCTGATCGGAGACAATATCTTTACTATTTACAATCAATGTTGACATATTTTTTGTTTTTTTTATTAGTACACCATTCAGCCGTTTTATACAAGCCCAGATCTTAGATTCTGGCATATACTGATCAAGCTTTGTGCAAAATGCTCGCCAGTAATTTCGTTCTGCTTGGCGGAGCACACGCTGTGCTTCTGCTTTCTTTTTTAAGTACTCATCTACCTTTTCAAAAGTTATTTTCCGTGACATCTTATTACACATTCTATTTCTCTCTTTGATTTTCTCTGTACATTCTTTGGTCCACCAAGGCACCGGATTTTTAGAGACATTTCTCCTTTTCGGTACAGTTTCTTTTATACACAGTTTTAAATATTTCATGAAATTATCATATATTTCCTGTATATCATTATTTATAAGTATGAGATCATTTGTAATCATCTCTTCACATTTCTTAGCAAATTTTTTCAAATTTATATGTTTAAAGGAGATAAAATCATCTGCACTTCTTATTGAAGCATCTTTATATTCAGAGCTTTTCCCGTCTAAAGGTGTTTGGATATTTATTGGGAAGTGATCACTTCCAAAAGGCTTTCCATGACTCTCCAAGTACTTCTACATGCCAGTGAAGGAGTGGTTATACATAAATCTAAGCATGACAGTTTTCCTGTTCGTGGATCCAGTCTGGTTCCTTCGCCATCATTCAAAACAGTTAGATTATGATGATTCACGAATTGTTCTATCACTTGTCCATTCTTGTCTGTTTTTTCACTTCCCCACATGGTACCATGAGCGTTAAAATCGCCTACTATAATAACTTTATCATTTTTATTAACGTCTTTTAATAGCACATTCATAATATATTCATTTAATTTCTTACAAGGATTATAAAAGTTCACAATTGATAACTTTTCATTTCCTGCGTGTATGTTTACTTGCTGCATTTCTAAATTTACATCATTCATTGGACCTTCATACTTGATTTTATTATGAACGTATATCGCACATCCTCCCCTCGCCTGATTTTCCCTATTTCTTGGGAGACATGTGTATTCAGGAATTTGAAGAACTCTATTTTCCTGAAACCATGTTTCTTGTATACATATCAAATCATAGCAATGTTTGTGTGTGTTCAAATACTTTATAAGTTCTTTTCCATGCCCTAGTAATCCCTGTGCATTCCATTGTAGTATGGAAAACAGTATCATCAATGTTTTAAGTATCATTATCAACATTGTTAGCACTACTTATTTGCTGCAGCGATCTTTTCGCTGCGACCAGAACTAAATTATTTATTTCTTTAAGAGTTTTGCCCTCTGTGAGTGAGAGGATCAATTGACATATAAAGTCAATTATCTGATCATCATTTGCTGTAGCTATAAAGTTCGTGGTTACAGAAGGATTTTCTTTCTTTTCATTGTCTTTTTTTGAAGTGATTGTTGTGGAGTTTGTTGATGTTGTTGAAGGATTTTGTGGGATTTTTCGAGGGATTTTCGAAGGATGTTTTGAGGTTGTTCGAGGTGGTAAGACATTTTGAGTTTGTTGGGTGCTGGTGGTTACGGGAGGTACGTTTTGTGTGGTTGCAGCGATGGCATATGAGCCAGGTATCGTATCTCTTGTTTTAATTTGTGTGTTTTTCTTGTTCCTCTTTCCTCATTTGGGAGGTTTGTGTGACAATGTTAGTTTGAGGGGTATTTTGTTTATTTGTCCATATTTGTGATGCTTGTGCATATGTGATTTTTTCTGTGATT